TAAACATATTCTTTTATATTTTTTCTAGTTGAAAGTATTGCTTCAGCAGTTGAAAAATTCTTCTTAAATATATAAAATAGTGTAAATAATAGTATCTTATTGAAGGTAATGATCAATGCAGGACAACTATTTCAGTGGAAGGGAGGTCAATTATGGTTAAGTATGGATAGGTAATGACAGAATGTATTGCTGAAATTTTTATTATTTCAAGTGAAGTTTTAATTGTGTATTGTTGGATTTTTAGGTTTTTAAGTTTTTCTTTGTGGAGATATTTTAGAAACGAAAGCAGAGTAGCACATTTTCTGTATTTTTATTGTATTTCTTTGTAAAATATACTTAGTAATTCTAAACTTTTAATATATACTATTTTTAATGTAAGCTAAAGCCAGCGTTCAAAAATATAAAGAGGGTTTTTTGTATAAAACAGTGCTCATTAAATGTTTATTGAAAAGGATCTTTAATGGAATTCCTTGCTAAACTTTATTTTGTTGGTGGATATTCTTTATTGCAGAACTTTTTAACCTTGCATGTTTTTGCTATTTGTGTAAAATCATACGTGAATAACAGATTTTATTGGCACTAGATATCAGTTTAGTTCATAAAATTTCTTTTATTTTACTATAGAGTCTTTTAATAATTTTATTATTTTTAATTTTCCATATTATTGGTGTGTTATAATTATGCATAGTGGTAGGATTTGTTGTTATGTAGTCATACATGTTTAGCTATGAATTTTCTCAAAACAAGTAATTCATGCTTCAGTAACAGCTTAGTGTTTCTGTTGATAAGTGACATTAGAAATGCTTGAACTCCTTTGAAAAATGCAAGGAAATTGTCTCCTTGCACTTAAACAGTAATAATCATAATAGGAATTTAGATTATAATTATCCTCTTGGAAGCAACTGTTCTTTCCCTTGTTTGATTCTGTGCTGACTCTGCTGTTTTCTTAAAATATTGTTATGAGTGCAATCTATTTGTTTAAACGTTCTTGGCATTTTGTATCATCTTACTCTTTAGCATTTGCATAGGTAGAAGGAATTCAGGAAAGCAATACTAAAGAGAAACTGATGTAGTTACTTCACAGTTACAAACTTAATAGACTCAGAGATAGAAATATACCACTATGTAAGGTATGCAAGTTTGTGCACACATTATGGGAACTTAGGCTTTGTATCCATGACCTTTTTTTCTTTTTTGCAATTTATGAAGTAAATTCCATGGACTGTGACCTGGAATTTAATAACTAACTTTACATAAAAATTAAGATTTCAATGTATTCTTTTCTCCTAACTTTGGATTTTTTAAATCTTTAGGCTGTATATCTCTTGGGATTTCTTGTTAATAATAATAAAAAAAATATTTGTTTTCTTTATAGGTTTAAGGGTGATTGAAATACTAGAGTATTAGCTGAAGATGCCTGGTGATATTTAGCATAGATTGCCTTGTGGGAGAAATAAGGTAGATTTAATGATTTGGATAGAAGTCAACAGCAATTAAAAGTAGCAATTAAAAATATAATGTGAGTCTGGTGATGGCTCAGATAATCTAAGCATGTTTTTATTTTAGGCAAGTAACATGTCGAGTTATGCTGTGTCACCTTTTTGCAGAGTGTGTTGATATTCTCGACTTAGTTTTTTACCTTTATTATTTTTAAGGTCAGATAATCATCAAATGCTAATTTCAAGGTTGTGAAATATCATTAGATTATTTAAAAATGAAAGATCAGTTCTTCAGTACTTTCTACTGCCTGTAGGAATTACAATGTATTTTTATTTTGCCTTAGAAAATGGTGTCTTTAGTTTTTCTGCAACAAATGAGATAGAATAGTGAGGAAACATAACTGAATAATTCTTATATCATAACTGAGATGAAAGGCAAGCAGGAACAAAGGAATCAGGTTAAGATGGGGGGGCAATGGCTAGTATTCTGTTTATTATTTGCCTAGCAAAGGAAAGAATGTTTGGCTTTAGAGAAATATAAATGTTAAAGGAAATAAGTATGTGTGAAGACATACTATCTTTTATACTTTAAGAGTAATTTAATAAGGAATATGACAAGTATAATCTGTGTACTTTTTTTCCTATCTTGCATTTGGTATTTTAGGGTAAAATTTACTAAGGGATTAAAAAGATTTAAAATTATGTTGGATAAATATTCTTCTAATTTTTGTGATGCCAGGCAGACATCCTTATCTCACTAATGTGTTTTGATAGCACAGGGGATAAAGCTTTCTAAGAATTTTCATCTTCATGGCTAATGGACTTTGAGATTTACAGATTTGTGTGTCCTTCCCCTCGCTCCTTCTATCTCCCACTTCCTTTGAAGTTAGGTAAAATGAACACAGAAAGACCTATGCTGAAAAGGAACATTTCTGATTCTTGTAACTATTTTCTTCCCTTGTTTTCCTTTCTTTCACATCCATATTTTGAGAGCAACATAATGAATATAATAAAAGAGTGAAAATTGCATTGAAAACCAATTCTCTCAATTAGCAGGCCTATTTCCTATGTCTTGAATTTCAAATATTTCTAAGTAAGCATTGGTTGCAGAATATTTTTGTGTGTATGAATAACTTATTTTCTTCTTTCCTATTTTAATCCTTAGTCAGTGTACAACTTCCATTTTATCATAACTTTGTTCATTCATCAGGGCAGGCATTTTACAAAGAACTGGTGATGTAGTGATGATTTAGTTTGAAGGAGACATGCCCCAGTCAGGTTCATACTAATGGACATCACAAGGAGATGTTGGCATGTACTAATAGAGCTCCTCCTACTTCCTTGAAGGTTTGGCGCTCGAGCTTATTCAGTTTCTTCCTCCTCCTCCTACTGTCATTGTCTGTGACAGCTTCACTCTCCTAGATGATCCATCCAACATTTTACTTTCTCATTTACTTGACTTTCTCACTCCCAGTGATCTTTGTCTCTCTAGCCAATCTCAGATACCACTACCTGAGAGAGTAAAATACTTCCCTCTAAATATGATGTATAGACCTCCTTTCCTGAGCACTCTACACTATTGGAAATAATAACCCATTTACTTCACAGTTATTTCTTGTCTGTCACTTTCTTATAATACCCTCTCTTCCCTTCTTATACCCATAGTCCTTCAATACAAACCATCAGTTCATTTGCCTCTCTGTTCATATGAACTCTGTCCTTGTTTGCTCACCTCTTTTGCACTGTGCACCTTAGTACAGTGAGCACCTGTAGTTCTAATTATTTTTAGCTAAGTTGCTTAGCCTGTCCTTGAACTTTCTATACTCCTGCCTTGGCTTGCTCAATAGCTGGGATAACAGACTATACCACTGCACTTGCCTTTTTGCCATTTTGAATATTTTCTTTTTAAAATATCTTCTTAGTTGTAGATGGACACAATATCTTTATTTTTTTTTTTCATGTGGTTCTGAGGATTGAACCCAGTGCCTCACTCACATGTGTGAGGCAGGCGCTCTACCACTGAGCCACAGCCCCAGCTTGAATACTTTTGAGATATTGGCATAGAGTTTTTTCTTTAACAAATTACTACTTTGATATTGACATGAATACAAAGTAGCCTGTCTTCCTAGTGCTAATTTGTTTTGCTCTGTTGGTTATGTTTTCTTAAGTAATATAGCAAATTAATAAAACAAGAAGGTGATTTAAAAGACACCTAATTTTGTATCATTTCAAAAAACCTGCTTTGGAACATACACATTTCCTTGTGTTGCCCTTCGATGTCTATTGTGTTATTTATATAGGTATAATTTAGGACTTAATTGATACTTTGACAGCCTCATCATTTCCCATATGGGTTATAAACATATCTCTAAATAGGCCTTTTGAGCTCAAAGTAAAAGTCCAAGTTCTTTTGGTGACTTGTAAGGTTTACAGGATCCTGCATCACAACCTGCCTGGTTGACTCATTTATATTCTTCAGCCCTTTATCCAAACACTCAAGTTGGAGACCTTTGATTTATCTCTGCGAGGATCTCATTGATTACCCTATATAAATTATGTGCCTTATAGTATGCTCATTTCTTTTTCTTGGTTTTATTTTTCTCTATAATAGTTATTTACAGTGTACTTTAATTATTTATTGTGTACCTATTCCCATTAGAATGAAGGTTCCCCATGGGAAGAATTTTTATCTCTTGTTCACTGCTCTATTCTCAGCAATTAGAACAGTGTGTGGTATTTAGTAGTCACTTAATGTTTGCCAGATAATGAGTAAACTCTGCCTCTTCCAATCCATGTATTTCACATTGCACTAGATCTTTAAAAATTCTTCTGGGGAGGCTAAATGTAGAGTGGTGCTCTACCACTGCATGACCTGGCCTTTACATCTTGTGTTGTATGTTGCTGTGTCTCACTCTGGGCTGAATTCCTTTCTAATTCTTTGATTTTCTAATCTCTTATTTCCCTTTTCCATCTGACTCGGGCTTTCCTGATCCACTCTGTCAAGGTAGGTGTTCTTACTTTGAGTCTCTTGGTTCTGTTACAGGAATTAGACTGCATTGAAAATTATTATTTTCTTGCTGTGTTTCTCCTTTCCCATATAGTTTGGTAATCCCTGTGTCAACATTACCTAGAACGAGACTCTGAATTGAATGGTAACTAAATGAATCAAAGACTAAAGCTTTTTATGTTGCTCACAGTGCTAATTTTCATAGGATATTTCTTATATTGAGTTTTCATATTTATTTTGAATTATACTGAAATAGATTATTTAAATATTTTTATATACACTTAATAATTATCCATGACATTTTGCATTTGAAAAATGTATTATTTTAATACATTATAATTATTTTTAACTTGCAAATAACTTAATATGTTACTATCTCTAGTGAATATCATGGATTGAATTTATAGATTTATGGGATGTCATAATGAAATTGTTCTCCCAAAATAATAGTAATCATAGCAATTGTGTGCTGCTGTTAATAGGAGAGGTGTGATTAATTTGTTATTTTGTGGATAATCTTTATGCAGAATAAGATAAATATTTTTGATTTTCAGGGAAGTCTTAAAAGCAGTCAACAGATTTCACCTCAGGAATTCATCTATGAACTCAAAATGGGGTCTGAGGATGAGAGACTTGTGACATACTTGGAGTCCCTCCGGGTATCTTTGACCAGCAATCCTGTGAGGTAAGTCATCTATCTCAACATTTTCAGGGCATGTTTTCAAATTAAATACAAATGAAATAATAATGATATCTGTTTTATACTTTTCTCATGATGCTTTCAAATAAATAGCTGGTATACCTCAACAGTTTCTCAAAGTAAAAATTGAATACATAGTATTTATAAGCACAAAGAAATACTCTCAGTAGTACTTTCTGTATTAATTATTGAGTAATATATAGCTCATGGAATTAATTTGTTTTCATAGATTTTTTAAAATGTGAAGATTTTCTCTTAAGAGAACAGTTATAGTCAGAAGTTGTTAGTTTAGTGTGACTGAATTTCACCCTGAATTTTGGTATTGTATAACATACTTGCTGATTCTTGTTTGACAAGCCCCTCCCCCCAAAAAATCACTAATTAATTTTTTTCCTTTGTTTGAAATGGTGTCTTTGTAGGGATCCATAGTTTAGTATTGCTAAATTTAGCAAATAAAAACTGTAGGACACACGGTAAATTTGAATTTCAGACATACTAAAAGATTTATTTATGTGAATCCCAATTTAATTTGAGTGTCTTATATTTACTTTAGCAGTACTACATAGGTATTTCTACAACTTTTATACTTTTGGAGTGGGACTAATTTTTGGTGTCTTTGAGAAATAATTGTTTAGAAAATAAAAAAAATTCATTAAATTTTGATAAACTGGGCATATTTAAAATTGCCAGATTATTAACTGATAGAAGACAGATTTTTTAAAAAATGAAACATAGTATACCTGATGTGTATCATTCATGTTAATTTAAATGGCTGTAAGGAGAGATAGCAATCTGTATAGAGGCTGTATGCTAATGCTGAATTACTTTGGTGACTGATCCAGAGCATTCTTGAAAAATCTAAGTAGAAGTTATTATGAAATTTTCAAGCAGTTAGATAATTTCTGAGCCTCAAGGGTCTGAGGCAGATCAATCACTGCATATGAATATGTGCTGTATTTTTATGAATACATGGTCTGAAGGCTTGAATGGCATGCTATAATTGAAGGTTAATGATGTAGAAAATATATTCTAATAAGTACTTTTTTCGACATTTCCTATGTTTAGATATATTGTAAGAAAGGCCTTGACACAAGCATTTAAAACAAAAAGACCATCCCTGGAGTTTAATTAATAGGAGTATAAAGAATAAACAATCTTTATTTTAGTCTTTACTTGTCTCTGTATAATTAGAAGTAGTGCCCCTCCCCTCACTACTATTACCATTCATTCTTCCCCACTCCTTTTTTGTGATGATATGATAACAAAAGAAAACAATATTGAAAGATTTCATGTATACATATTAAAATGGATTGGATTATTTATTGTGATTTTTATCTAATAACAACTAGTAAATTTCGCTGTATGTTCTTATTTTAAAAAATATGATATAAGCAAAATGTTGTGAAAATATTTCCCCAAGGATGGACAGTTCTAGAATATATTACTAGAAATTCACCAGGTTTTCTATGAGGTTCTTTAAAATTAAAAAATGGAAAATTGTATTGTTGGAGATTTTTTTTTTCTGAAATTGTGCCCCTTAACATGTAGAGAAAAAAATTGGCAAGATACTTGAGTAGTTCTATTAGTGTTTCAGTTAGAGAAATTAAAACTTGGAAGTTCTTGGAAATCCTGATGGTTACCATATGCCTGTTAATGGAAGTCAATATTTTGGGCTGTCTTTGAATTTGTTATGCCTTTCCTTTTAATTTTAGTTTCATTATATATGCATTACTTATTAATATATCATGCGGATTATATCCTTTTGACTTAGTGTGAGTAGAATTATCTTTGACTAAGCTTCTGAGACTTTCTTCTTGATATTTTATGTATTTACCAATATTAATGTGCCTAGCTGTTTACCCTCATTAAAATTGTTCTTTATACCTTTTCCTAAATATTAGGAATATCTGTTGTAAATATTATAGGAATAAGTTTTTTTAAGCCTCTTTAATAATCTTTGTTTTTATTTGGTAATTTCATCTTTTTGTAGCTATAGTAAAAAATATTGCAATTGATATCTGATATTTCATTTTGAATTTTCAGTTTGTTTTTTTCAAGTTCGTCTCCCCCAGTCTTCCTGTTTCTGCTCCTTCTCCTCTTCCTTCTTTCATTCCGATATTCTTACTTCCCTTCTGGCTTACCTTTTTTTTTGCATACATTTTAAATTTAATTTCATTTTCTCTCCTTTACTGATTTAGAAGACAAAAAGTCCTTTCTGATCTTATAATAGCAAAGGGATTTAATATGCATATACTTAAAATGAATGAAATTAATCAATAATTTCTTCTCTTGAACCAAAGAATAGTTTCATATTGATCCTTCTTCTTTGATTAATATGCTTTTTAAAGTAACATTTTAATTGTATTTTTTATAAAGTGGAATATTATTGAGTTACACTACAAATTTGTATGTGTACAAAGTGTACACACAATCTCATCATTTTCTGATTTCTGTACTTTTCTTCACTGATTATTTATGCTTCAAGTGTATTATTACTATCTCTTAGGATCTGTTGCTTAAATTCTGTTCTTCATCTGAAATTATCTTTGTCATTACTTTTGAAGGCAAGCCTTCTCTGATTTATTACATTGAAGGTTTTTAGTTATCTTTTCTTAGGTAAAATTTTTCTCATCTTTTCATTGCTGTTTATGAGAGCTTGGCCTTTTATCTAAAACTCTTTGCAGTTAATCTGTCCTCTTTTTTTGCCTTTTTAATTGATATTTTCTGTCTTTGGTGTTTTCAAGTTTCTTTTATGTGATAGATGGTATTTCTTATTTATCCTGCAAGACATTTTATTTTATTTTGCTTCTTGAACATGATTGGTGTCTTGTGCAAATTCTGTGCTAACCGACAAGGGCACACAAATCAATGAAAGATAGTGAAACTCTGTTCCATGACAAAACAAGAAAGGAGATTTCAATCTTGAGCCCAATGGATGGGACATATGTGAGGTGCAATAGAATTGAAATAATATGAATTTTCTTCTGCGTTCCTTTCTTCTCTCCCACCACAGTCTCTGGAGACTTAGCTCCTCAAATGCTGAGGGAAGGCTGATGAAGGTCATGTTTGCTTGAGCAGGAAATGCGCTCTTGGCTTGGAGAGTGCTTTCTTTTGCATTTCCCCCATAGGATTTTGATTGGTACCTGGAGAATTCTTGAATTTTAGAGTTCTCTTTCACTTTTTCATCTTTTTAATTCTCTCTGGTGCATCCCGGGCATTTTTCTCAGGACTATTTTTCCATTTACTAAAGCTCTCTTCAGGTACGTGCAGTATCCTAGTGGCTCATGTGTTTTGGTTTCCTGATGTTCTTCCATGGGCTCTGTATGTGATCAGCCTGATTCATCTCATCTAATGTTAGACTGTGAAATAAATGGCTGCTTTTTAAAGAAAATGTTTATTTTTTAGTTGTAGTTGGACACAATACCTTTATTTTATTTATTTTTATGTGTTGCTGCGGATTGAACCCTGGGCTTCAGACGTGCTAGGCGAGCACTCTACTGCTGAGCCACAACCCCAGCCCCCAAATGGCTGCTTTTAAATATGTAATTTATTCAAAAAGTTAATTCCCAGAAAATAAACTTTAAGGATTTTATTTTAAAATTCAGTAGATTTTGCAATCAGATCATTAATTGTTGTTTTGTCAGACTGGCTCTGTAATTTAGTGTAACTTTGGTGGATGGAGCTTTGAATGGGATACAAGTGTATGCTGGTTTTGCTCTATAGGTGTGTTAATTGCTTTGTACTCCCCTGTAAAACTGTTCATTTAAAGTTTTTTAGTGCGCTTGCTAAGGGTTGGTGAAAATAAATGCTTAAAATATGTAATTACATTCAGCAAAGGTGATATATTATTCTGACACAGGAATATAAATTGGATCTGGATACTATACCATATTAAAACTGACTTTCTAAATTTAAGTTATGAAATTTTTTTAGTTTTATGTGTTCAGTGATATATTCACACCTTTTACGAAGCAGAAAATTAACAAAAATATAGGAAAATTCAATAGTCCAATGTAACAGAATATGTATTCTTGTAATTTCCCAAAGCACATGAATCAATCAATACAAACCATATTCCATGCCATAAAGTAAAGTTATCAAGTTTAAAAGAATTAAAATCATACTTGGTGTGTTCTTTGACCACAGAGACTCAAACTAGAAGACAGTAAGATAAAAGAAAATCTCCAATGCCTTGGAAAATAAGCACACTTCTAAAAAAATCTATGTCATGGAAGTTTGAAGAGAAATAAATAAATTCTGAACCTAGTGAAAATATAACCTGATAGCATTAAAAACGCATTAGAAATGAGGAATAGGCTTAAGTCAGTAATTGCTACTACTACCGAAGGAATCTTGGGTGGGGTTGCTGTGGTTGGAGAGCAAAATCAATGAAAAGCAAGCTTTAGAAAGGATTTACTAAAAATAAGAGCAGAGATTAATTAAATTGAAAAAAGAAACAATGGAAGAAATTAATGTGACAGAGCTTGTAATTTGAAATGATTAATAAAATTAACAAATTTGTAATAACCTTGACGAAGGAGGAAAGTGTAGACAAGATTTCAATGTCAAGTATTAAATGAAATACTAATCACAACAGACCCTGAATGAAAAAGAAATAATGTTTAGTGTTGTTATGGGTGTAGTGTCAGTGTGTACACCAAGGGTTCATGTATTGGTAGCTTGCTCCTCAGTGTGGTGATGTTGCTGGGTGGTATGAAATCTTTACTAGGTGGACCAAGTGAAAGGTTGTTGGATCACTGGGCATCATCCTCTGAAGGGGATTAGGATGTTCTTGTAGGACCCAGTTAATTCCTGGAGAGTGATTTAATATAAAAGAATGAGCCTGGTCCTTCACTCTGCCTTCCTGTCTCATCCTATGATCTCTTTTTATTGTGCTGAATATGCTCCCACCATTGAGATGCTATTATCCTTTGGATCCTGAGCAGAGACCAAACACATGGGGCTACTTGATCTTGGACTTTTAG